AATGGAGTAATACCACAGTAACACCAGAATAACACAAGGATAACACCAAAAAATCAGAAGCCTAAAACCATAATAACGCAAAAAAAAACCATAATAATATCAAACCACACTGTAGAATAGCACCCAATAACACTACATCAACACCAACATTTACATAGAGATTAAACTAAACCCTATACCACCTAAACGGTACTAAATCAAAGGCAAGAAACAAGAGTAATATCAGAGTAACACCAGAATAACACAACAGTAATACAAAAAATCACTTGATCTTGATCTTCAAAGTTCAGGCTGAATGATGGCATCTCAACGTTCATGGAGAAATCGACTTCCGGAATCTCAACGTCCATGGAGAATTCCAACAATACCTAGCTATGGCGGAGCTGTGAAAAAACCAGCGAAATATTTCTTCACCCTGCGAATAAAACAGCAAGCTGGCGCGAAATAATTTTATCATGGCGGAATTTTTTCAGAATTCGGGTTTAGGGTCAGGCCGGGTCACGAATACTGATGGAATAGGTGGGGCCGGAGTTTACACCTGACGGCAATATATTGGATACGCACCTAGCTTAAGGTGCGTAGTACTGATGGAATAATTTTTCCAAGCCCACAAATGAACAAAGCATGGAGTGCTTGTTTTGCTATCAATTGCTTAATGTTGAATTTCTCTTTTAGACATTCTTTTTTATTCTCTTCATCCTGTGACTGTGGGGTTGCAATTCATTATTGATTAATTTATCCTGAGACAGTTCCCAATCTCTCTTTAAGTTTATAATTCTCTATAATCATATGTTCTTAAATTATTATTTTCATTTGAACTTTTGGGTTTTTGTGTATGCCATTATGATGCCATTGATTTTACCCAGGCAAACCCTCCACAGCTTCACTCAAATCTCTTATACATACAAAGATACAGACGCCAAACTCGTTTGGTCTCTGAAGCAGCTTACTTCTTTACAAACATTCTATCCGCAGAATCCTTTGCATGGAACATTAATGGGGAGTCTCTTTCAATGGAGGAAACTGATTTTCAGAAAAAAATGGAGTCGGCTCGTGCACAACTACTAGGCTTATCGACGGACACCACTAATCACAGGAATAAAACAACTGAGAATGTCACGGAGCACACATCAGATGCATCAAAATCTCAAGGTGAGGCAGCCTATGCTTTCAGGGAGAACAAGGATCTTGGTAGGGCTCAATGGATTACAAGCAGAACTGCCACATCAGATTTAGAGAAGAAAGGGGCTGCTGATCTTCTTAAGAATGATAAGCTAACCGAAAATTTCAATGATTACCCATACTTGTATGCAAATGCAGGCGATCTGACTGTGGATGATGTCGAAAGTTTACTCGATTGCTATAAAAAACTAGTGCTCAAGTATGTATGTCTTTCCAGGGGAATGGGTATAAGTGCCTCCTATGTTGGGGAACCAAATTCTCAATTAAATTCTAAGCTAGAAAATGCAGGTAGTTTATTTGATGTTGCAAAAGGAAAAGTCAGCAATGGGAGTTATAATGAGTCAAGAACAATAAATGATCCTTCAACTATGACCACAAATGATGGTGCACTAAATATTACTCTCAGTGAACCTGATTGGCCTAAAGATGCTGTACAGGGAAATCTTAGTGTTTCTGTTGATGCTGCAAAGGAGGAAATGAATAATATAAATGATACTGAACCCAAGGTTGCTCTAAATGACCCAGTTGGTCATACAAGTACCGAAAAAGCAGAGGTTTTTGATTAGCACTTGCTTTTAATATAGTTTGTTAAACCATTCCTGTTAACTCACAATAATGGCTTCATATTTCATGTCAGTTGCGATTTGCTAGGCCATGAAAGCAGCATGCATAACACTGTTTCAAATTGGAAAAACTGAGAATTGGAAGAAGTTTGGATTGCTGCGTTCAAACACATTGTTTGTGCCATTTTGCTTCTTAGTGCAAACAATTGTATGTACTATAGTTTTTTTTTTATGAATTAGTACATTTTGTGGGTCATCATGATTGCACTTCCAGTATGCTGTTAGTTTTGATTCAAGTTAATTCCCTCCAACCTTCATGGAAGCCTTGGTAAGTTGTCGCGACTCGTAGCCGACTTTCCAGTGTAATTATAATTGTAAGCTTGTGGACTATTCATTCCTCAGCAAGAGCTTCTCTTCTGCTCTAAATGGTCAACGCAAATCTGAATGTCTTGATTGCTTTAAATCTTCCAAAAAGTTTGTAAAACTTCAATCTTTTCATATACTTAATGTATGTTTATGCAACATGTAACATTGTTTCAGACTTTCATGTACTACTGTTTGCAGTTCTGAATTCAAGTGATAAATTGTCAGAGCTCACTGCGAATACTGCTTTATCTTCCCCACCAAATTGTTTCTATTACACCTATTATTGTCCTGCTCTGCTTCTGCGTTGATTATGATAATGCGCTGTCCTTGGCTTTACTTCTATGGTGGTACCTTTGTCGTGTGGATGTTAGACTGCTGGCTATTTCAATGAGCCACTTCATTTAGCACCCTTCGTGAGGAAAAAATATTACGTCCGGAGTCGGATGCAAGCTGCATCCAGACAACGGACGTGATGCACGGAGGAAGCGGAGTGTAAAAAAAAAAATCCAACTTTTCCGTGCATTGCATCCATTGTCTGGACTTAGCTTGTGTCCGAACTCCGGACACAATATTTTCTCCCTCTTCACTGTGCTTTTGTCCTTTTTTATCCGCAGCTTTGCATCCTATGTTGCACTGATACGAACATGAGAACGCGAGAACACGTGTACAATACATATATCATTTTTATTATTAAAAATACATAACACTGGCACATTTATTGATATTTAAAAAATATTGTTAAAATATTTTTAAATTCATTAATCGGATATGTCAAGCATGTGTCTGGCACGTGTTTGGGGTATGTCGGGTGTGTGTCGGTGTGTGAGAAATGTCTGACATTATACGGAGACCATTGTAGTTTCTCCATACTTCTTCCTACTCTATTACACCTATTATTGTCCTGCTCTGCTTCTGCTTTGATTATGATAATGCGCTGTCCTTGGCTTTCTTACTTCTATGGTGGTACCTTTGTGGTGTGGATGTTAGACTGCTGGCTATTTTAATGGGCCACTTCATTTAGCACCCTTCGTGGGGAAAAAATATTGTGTCCGGAGTCGGATGTAAGCTGCATCCAGACAACGGACGTGATGAATGGAGGAAGCGGAGTAAAAAAAAAAAACCATCTTTCCCGTGCATTGCGTCCATTGTCTGGACTTAGCTTGTGTCCGGACTCCGGACGCAATATTTTCTCCCTCCTCACTGTGCTTTTGTCCTTTTTTATCCGCAGCTTTGCATCCTATGTTGCACTGATACGAACACGAGAATGCGAGAACACGTGTACAATACATATATCATTTTTATTATTAAAAATACATAACACTGGCACATTTATTGATATTTAAAAAATATTGTTAAAATATTTTTAAATTCATTAATCGGATATGTCAAGCATGTGTGTTTGGGGTATGTCGGGTGTGTGTTGGTGTGTGAGAAATGTCTGACATTATACGGAGATCATTGTAGTTTCTCCATACTTCTTCCTATTTATTTTTTTTCTTATTGCTAAATGAGTTTAGTAATTTAAGATGTCTAATAGAATAATTATGAACTTTATTTTTTGAGGTGTATATTATTATTCTTTCTGAGACTATAGTTTGTCATATTTAAACTTATATTACATCCTAGATGTTCATTAGTAACCAGACCTTAGAATTCTCATCAAATTTAGTATCAAAATATCAAGTTATATCAAAATTAGTGTCAAAAATATAATTTTGGAGTATTTTTAGATGGAAAATCCCTTAAATACTTAATATATGTTATATGAAAAAAATTAATCTGCCCTTCTCAATGCTCAATCCACAGCATGGTGGACAGGGGCTTATTCACTTTGAATCCAGCAAATAATGCTAATGCATTGGTCAATTGAGCTTATTTATCACAAAGAACAACACATGATATCTATTATTTAACAATTTTCATAAAAATTGTAATTATGAAATCTTCTATGATACTTACCATAAAATTGAGTTGATGAAAGTTAAGAATCATTAATTAAAATGCAAAAAAAAAAAAAAAAAAGATTAGAAGCCCAAAAATAAGAAGAGGAATTGAGGTATAAAATGAAGTGAAGCAAGCATACATTGAGTTGGAATTTAAAGACACACACACACACACACACACACACATTGACTTAATGATGCTAATGAAGGGAGGTTTGATGGTGTTCCTTTATAGTACATATAGGCAGTGACTTCTTATGAATACACTATTTGATAAAATAAGAAAACTTATGGAAGTTGTAATAAAAAATTGAGCTGATTGTTATTACACTTTATTTTCATGGCAAATTGACACATATTCTCTTACTCTTGCATCCTATTTTCTTTTTTTTTTAATAAATATAAATTAAAAATATATTTATTCATGGAGTCATTTTAACTCACAAGAAAGCCTATGAATATTTTTTTATGTAAATCTCATTCAAGTTATAAATAGAATAAAAGAGATTTTAATTACAGATATTGTGGAGCCTTGGGAGATAGGTTATGTGATAAGTTTCTCTTATATAAATTTAAAATCTGATTGTGCTTTAGCTTAATAAAATTATTTTTGGATATAATTAGCTCTTTTGTGTATTGGGAGACTTTTATATTTAAAAAAAATTTAAAATGTTTAATTAGTAATTTTTTTGTCTAACTTCAATTCCTACATTAGCATTCCAAACTTTTGGGTTGGGTCAAGATAAGAGTACTACACGTGTTTAAGAATAAACTACTCCCATCATAGTGGAATGAATGGTAGAGGACTCATGTTGAATTATTTCACTTTCAATACATTGTTTATTGTAAGATTTTAATAATATCAACTAAAATTAAACAGTTAGAATTCACTTGATTATTTCGGTTAAGTGTCATTATTATTTGAGTGGATGTAAGAAATGTCAATAAATTGTCACTTTACATGCTATGTATAGTGTGATCACTGAAGTGTAATTCTGTTTTAAGGTTCTGTAAAAGCTGAAATGTGGTGATAATGTAAAATTGGGTTATGCCTCTTCATAAATATATTTAATTTATAAAGTATTTTATCAATTTTATTGTTGTGTATTGACTGTTTTTTAAAGTGAGACGTTATTTTATGGCACCATTTGAGCTAGTATGCGTTTTTCATGCAGTTTGGGTTGACATTCTTCAGAAAAATGTTGACAAAATATAATAAATCTTCATTTTTCATATCGTGTATAGATTGATCACTGGAGTAAATGTTTTCTTTAAGGGTCTGATAAAGCTGGTTCATGGTAATTATGTCATGTTAGGTTAGGTTTATCCAATAAGTTTTTTATCTATGAAATATTATATATGTTTTACAGTTAGCTATGCTTTTTTGATGTGCAATAATATTTTGTTGGGGAGAAACCTATCATTAGGGCACTAACGGAACAAATATTTTTATTTTTATGAAGATTCGGGCTGACTTTCTCAAGAAAATTTTTGAATAATTTAAATAAATTATCATTTTACATATTGTGTATGGTGTGATTACTGAAGTAGAATCCTATTTTAAGGCTCTGTAAAAGTTGAAAAGTGGTAATAATATAAAATTAGGCTATGTTTCTTCATAAACATATTAAATTTATGAAGTATTTTATCTTTTCTTTTGTTGTTCATTGACTGTTTGTTGAAGTGCAACCTTTTATAAGAAATTATCCGAGCTGTTATGTATTCTTTATGAAGATTTAGGTTGACATTTTTCAAAAAATGTTGACAAAATACAATAAATTATTATTTTACATTCTGCGTATGGATTAATCACTAAGTAAATGCCTTGTTTGAGGGTATGAGAAAGTTGATTCAGGGTAATTATGTCAAGTTAGGTTTCTTCACAAATATTTTGGATCTATGAAAGAATATATGTATTTTAGGATTAAATTTATTTTGTTAATGTGCAATGCTTGTATGTTGAAGAGAAACCTTTCTTTAGGGCACTAGTTGACAGAATCTGTTATTTTATAAATTACTTTATCTGTTATGTTGTTATGCATCGTTTGTTTGCTAAAGTTAAATCTTCTTTTATGGCACCATCTCAGCTCTTATGTGCATTTCATGAAGTTTTAGGAAGACCATCTTCAAAAAAGTAATCAAGAAAATTTAATAAATTTTTATTTTTCATAGTGTGTATAAATTGATCACTCAAGTAAGTGCTTTATTTATGAGTCTGAGAATGCTGAAATATATTTTTTTATGGAAAATTAGGATGGTTTTCTTCATAAATATGCTAGATTTATGAAGGGATAGAGCTATTCTCATGTTGTCTATTGATCATTTGCTGAAGAGAAACTAATTTTTAAGCACTATCTAATCTATTTATCTTATTTGTTTTTATGATGTGCATTCTTGCTTTAATTTGTTCTATTCATGCAGGACTAGTTTGAAATTCTTCAGAAAAATGCTAAGAAAATGTAACAACTTCTTATATAAATAGCATATAATATGATTGAATTTTTTAAAAAAAAAAATTATATAAGCACACATAATACATATCTTCTTTAACTGTTCAACAATTGTAGTGCAAATAAAGCCATTTTATATCCACTAATTTAGAAGTAAAGGAGTTTTCCTAAGAAATAATCAGCTTGGTTTATACTATAGATGGCTCTCTTGCACTTGAAGATGAGTATATTTCTTGAAAATATAAAACCATCTTTACTAGTTAAATCAAGGTATTGAATTTGAAAAGAAATGGACAAAAAAAAACGATTAACACGATACCTCCGAGAAGCATTGAGGTTGTGTGATGAAAATGATAGTATTTGGAGAGTTAATAACCTGAGAGTCAATGTGTTATGCAACATTTACATGTTTTTCTTTCTTTTATGTGGAAGGGGAACATAAAATAAGTAAAAAAAATTGAGCATAGAATACAGAATTTATGAGACAAAACAAAGTAAGATTTTTACTATTAACTCTATTATTTTTTTTCTAATGATCCTTCAATCTAGCATTAGACACACCCTTTAGTCGCATCTTAGTTGGATCTTTTAATTTGACAATGCAATCTTTATCTCCAGTCCTTTTTTTAGGCCTAT